GCGACAATCTCGAGTGCTTTCGAATTTCGAAGAGGATTACACCAAGGTGTTGGGATCTGCTTTTTAATATCGCTTCGAAAGGTGTGATCTGAAGAGCTGGCATTTACACTAGTGGTACGATTTTCAGGAAGCCCGTCTTGCTTCTTGACTTGACATGACATTTATATCATGGCAAGACATTTTGAGACGATGGCGGTAACGTACATCAGAAAAAAGGCTGCAGCCCATCACGGATGTACAATGACATTAAAGCCGCATTAGACTGCGTAGACCACTCTATAATGTTGGCCAAACTAAAACATCTAGGAGCTTCCGAGGTATTTGCCTGGTGGATGGATTCGTTCACCGCTTACTTTCAGTGAAATTGGGGGACGTCTCGTGACTTCCAGGGTATATCAGGCGTTCTTCAGGGCAGCAACGTCGCTACTTTTCTTGCTTTACTTCAACGATTATCACGATTAATATCACGACGCAGAATGGAAGTGGTTTGCACAGCTGCCGATTGCAGGATCTTAGAGTTTTGTTTGATTCATGACTCACATTCCTGAATAACTACTGCACTTTTAAATTGCTAAAGCAAACCAACATTTGATATTTTAAATGAAAGTTGCTGAAGAGTATCGGGATCAGCGTTGCCAGTATTTCAGATTTATCTGGATTTTTCAGATTTTTAGTCGTCTTGCCAGATACACAGACAGATCACGTGAATTTCCAGATTTTTTAAATATGTTCCAGCTTTCCCCAGATTTTTTAAACATGTTGCTTTTAAAAAAAAATCACTGCAATTGATTTATTCTCTATTAAAAAAATAAAACGCTAAACTTGCTACCTTTTTTTATTAAATGCCATCAATGTTGGACATTATTGGAATTTTAAGGTAATTCTTAAAATAGTTCATAGTTAAGTGCAAGGCGAATTCTTCGTTAAATCAAAGAAGAGTTTCAAAATACTTCTGAGTAGAATTACATCCATCTTTGTGGGCTTTGAGGTCGTGAGAATCGTGATGAAACTTAAGGAGTATGTTGATACGAATCATGAGAATAATTTCAATGGAATTCTGTCCAATGTTTCTATGGAGATTAATTTTAATAAAATTTTAAGCGCAATCTGGGAGACTGTCAAAACCATTTTGGCAAAGTACTTGAGTACTTAGGTAATACTGAAAAAGATTTCAAAACAATTCTGACCTTACCTACAAAGCAGTTTAAAGGGAATTATCGGATAGGCCTGAGAAGAGTGTGACGGTCATTCTGAAGAGTGTACCAAGGAAATTGTTAAGAATATTTTAAGAATTTAAGAGAAAAATCGACACAAAATTCAACCAATTCTTGGGAATTATTACCAACTTGAGGGAGTTGTGTTGGAGAGTGATTTATAAGAGATTACAAGAGGTAATGCTAAGAACTCTTAGAATGTTGCTAGAAAAGTTTAGATATTTTCAAGATTATTTTAGACGAATACAGAAAAGAAATATGATGGAATTCTAGGATAATTCTAATTGAACTAAAAAAAGGCGAAGATATCCTGTGAAGAGTTCCAAGTAATTTCAGACTAACAAAAAAAGAATCATGATCTGGGACGCAGGAAAAATATAAATTCGGGAATTAAGAATCATTGCAAGTTCCTGAGAGTTCAAAAATGAAGCTATCAGACTGTCATTTTAGTAATATAATAAAATTATTCTTTGGCATAAAATTATTCGTAATGTTCATGCAAATAGTGGAGTTACACGTAGCTTACGATGTAAGGCTTTGATTCTCTCTTCAGCCCGGTGAATTTTGCTTCAAAATAAAATTGCCTACTGGTCTGCTGGGTGTTGTGTGTTGTATTATGTCAAGAATTAAATTGCAAATCTGATCAACCTCAGAGTATCATTAGAATTATTTAGAACTAATAAAATCTTTAAAATCTGGTACTGCATCAAATAGTAAGGACTACCTGGGATATTAGTTCAAAAAATCCATCCCATCAAATTTCCTTGATTTTTTGCAATCCATTCTGTTTAGAAAAGTTAAAGTTTAAAAAACAATTCTAACCATATTTTCTGCTGTATTTTACCCACATTTAACTCAATTTTTGAAATGCTGCGTAATGGATATTTGAACTTTCTGGGTACATCGTGTCAATACTTATCAACTTTTGGATGATTTAAGCAATGCTAACAAGTTATTTGCTTTATATAATTTATTTAAACATGTAATGTATAACCATTCTAGTACTTTAAATAAATTAAAGATGATCATACTGATCAATTTTTACAGGAGATTGGCACATCTCTTTGATTTCAATAGCATTATGTTGAAAAGGAGAATTTTTTGGAGCATTCCAGATTTTTCCAGATTTAATATTTTACCTGTTCCAGATTTTTCTGAAAATGACCTGGCAACGCTGATCGGGATCCAAATACTATTTTTCAATACAGACCCTGAAACAGCAGCGATGTTAGGTGTGCATTTTTTTTTTAAATTTCGTTTGCATAAACATATTTATTAAAGATTGTTCATAGTTATTCACCATGTTGTCCACCATGATTTCAATTAGATTATTAAATTATTCAAAGAAATTATTGAAGCCACGAGGTACTAATGGCTTATTCAATGATTAGTAGCAACATTTTTAAATTTCCCCGAAGGATTTTTTCCATAATGCACATACAATTATTAACTGTTGAAGAATTTATTAAAAATCCCACACTTATCACTTGATCGCTCTCAACATCATCCTGGTGTACTTCAGACTTTGCATCTTTTTATTAAATGCTGTCCAAACGATAGAGCCCCCATCGTTTGTTTTAGCAGGCAGTCCATTAAGATTTGTCCCTCTGTAAACAAGACCTCGACAAATTAAATCATCAACGGAAGCAATCCCGTATCAAGCCACTCACTTCACGAAGCATTTATCGAACCACCAGCCGGAACTGTATACTAGGGCACAATTCCTGGCCTCATTCCTGTCGTTATCATTGTCATATGTGGAAAATTTCATCCCGACATGCGCCCGTAAGCTATCTCCGGCAGTACCGGAATAACTGCCCAGATGTCGCAAAGCATACTCTTCGTCTTCGCCACCGATTTCAAATCGCGAATACCGTGCATACTTGTAGATTCCCATGAAATCCGTCATTTCCACCAGCAGCTCGAGGTGCTGTAACTTCGTTAATCGGTGGATGCTCTCCAGCCCCAGCCAAAACTCATTGTCCAAGGTTCCAAAGCCTTGTCGGTAGTTCATCCAGGAGCGGAAAAAGCTCACCTTACCAAGCACTCGCTGTTGGATCACCACCCATCCACTACCCGTACTTTTATGTTTTTGAACACAAAGAACCCAGAATGGGGGAGATTGGTCCGGTAGCTGAAGCAGAGCTTGATCCGTGTGAGGTAGATCACTGCATGAATTGATTGGCCCCGTGCTACGTGCCATGGCTACAGCATTTACCAAAATACCAGTCCCATTCAACGCAGCTGATGCAGAACATGACTGTGTTGAATCTGTGGGTATTCTGAAACAAAATTAATGGTGAACGAGTGGTCGTGTAACGTTTGCTGGAAATACTTCACAAGGGTAGAATTGACCCTTTCGAGTAATCGATCCAATGCCCTTTCCTGATGTTCGAAACGGTTTTTCATCTCGTGACTTATATCAACGATTTGCTGCTGACTCTTCCTGAACAGTTGAAGCAGTTCCTTGATGCTTGTGACCTGTATATCCGTCCTGAAAGCAGATTATTTTGGGAAACTATGACATTCAATTTGAAATTCACAACTTACAAACATTCCATATGATCGATTCTTGTGGTATTTAGGCATTCTGATTGCGGCGATTCCTTACAATCGGATGTTCCAGTTGATTGCGAGCAAGAACAGCTCAAAATCAGTATGGTGAAGTGTAACAGCCACATGGCAAGACTCCTGGTATTCAAGTAACATTTCTGATTAGCAAAAAGCTAATTACTCTGAGCTGGGCTCCTAACGGATTGGTTGTGTTTGTTTTGAAGCGGGTAATTGTGTTTGGTTTTCCAATAGGAAAGTGATTATTTTGCTCCAACGGTCGGTGCGCTCTGGTAATGACAATGCAAAATATCGCAGATTGTTTCACTGCCAGTGGATTCGGAACTAATGAGATTTTATGTGGAAATTAGAAAAGTATTTTTCTCTGAAAGGAGCTTCTACACCTAACCGGGAAACGTAAGACTCTATTACAGATTTGCATGAAAAGAATGCAGAATTTGCAATGTTTGTAGATTCTGTTACATGGTCACCGGAAGGTTTTTTGAAAAATTTTGTATTCTTTTTTGTTTGCTTAATTTTCGGACAAAGCCTTTTTCCCCAACTGCATTGCGTCTAGAAAATCATCTCGTACAAATATATGGATTCTGAAAAAACTAACTTGTTCACTGCAATTCATTGCATGAACTGCCATTACATTTGTTGTATGATACGTATACAGAGGATGTAATAATTCCAATCTTTCATTGCATGTAAGAGGCATTTGTTTGCGTGTAGTAGTGAGCTGTGACCACCCAGGTAATATGTAAATTTTAAGGAAAAAAAATATCAGTCAGTTATTTTCCTATAAACAGGTACTCTACATGAAATAAAATGATAAAATTATGTTTGAATCACACAGCTAATGATTTATTTATGCACAATATCTGATTTAAAAAGACTTTTAAAAAGTTCGCATAAGTTTCCAGTATTCCGTAGCATTCCATTTGGCACTGGACTTGCAATTGCTAACCATATGCACCGAGACAGCCGTATTTCTATTCCCGAAATTTAACTCGTCACAACCCCATTCATCAAGCCAAACGAGATACATATATGCTCCTCCTACACCCAAAGCGGAATTGAACCGGGGAATGAAATATCGAACAAAGTTCCCCTACAGCCTACACTCATACGTTGCACACATATGCCAGCAAGAGAGGTACACACACAATCACACACACACATACGCAGAGAGAGAGAGAAAGAGAGTTTAGCATTTTTGCTGAATAATTTTACCTGACAATGGCGTCTGATTGACTTATGAATTTGTACCGGATGCGAAACTCGAACGGCGTCACGGCTTGCATCGGTGCCTTGAATACCTGCAGGTGAGAAAGAAAAGTAGAAGTGAGAACAGGAAAAAGCCGTATCCGATTAGAGCCATTCGGCTGGTCTGGCATGGCACAGTCTGCAAAAAAAAAAGTCTACGAAACTATGAGATACAAGTGTGCAAAGAAATTACTATCATCTATATTCAAATGAAAAACACATTCAACGGGCAGAATGGTACGGTAGGCGCATCGGAACGGAATGAAACATCGACGTCGTCGTCGACGACGTTGTCGTTGTCGGCCTACGAGACCGGATGGGTTCTGTCTCCGGGATCAGTTAATGGGGATGTTTTCCGTTCTCGATTTCTCTCTGTCTGTGGGAGCTTGTAGTTATAAATGGTATTGAAAGCAGTTTGGGTTGGTGGAATTGATTTCATGTAGGTACTCGTTCAATTTAAAATTTAAAAAAATTTAAAATTCATTACAAAGTCCCGCTTTCTAATTTTTATTTCCGATCAACGTACATCGAATCATTAAATGCGCAATCAAAAGCGATAATCCTTCCTTCAGAAATGTTCGAACTCCCCATCAATCGTTGCTCTAAGCGATTTCCCTCCAATCCAAAAGGAAACTCCAATCACCTATTGGACACCCCCCGATCGCTCTGTCTGATTGCTTTCCTTCAATCTGTCAAAGTTGTTCCAATATTCGAGCTCAACAAGCAAGAATTTGTTTTCGATTTCAATCCCGGGCGCTTGACTTCCATCCAAATCTTTAGAAATCGTTTCAGAACCCAAACTGTCGACGCTTCTTCCTTCGCTGTCACTGAAAACCCCTAGTATAACATCTTTCCCAGACTGAAATGATCCCTGCGTCCCATGATCCCTTGACACCCCATCCACCGATCACCGAGCATCAACAGAGGGCTTGCAAAAACGGATGATACGTGTAATTCGGTGCCAAATGTTGAGAACGAGACGATGACAGATGGAATATGTTTTCTGCATACGAATCTTTCTTCCATTCCAGGGTAGAGCAGAGAGAAGTGAAATCCCACGCCTGAGAATCAGCTTCCGTTCTGTTACTTCCGTCGTCTCGGATTCCCCTCCATCGCCATGACACCGTACATGGCTCATATGAGTCTAGAGAGGACTTATCTTGAGAAAACTACAACGACGACGTCGACAACTATATGACACATATCCGTTCCAGTTTTGCGTTCGAGTTTTGTGAATCTATTTCTGCTTCCACGTATGAACCATGGGAAAGTAGATGGGAGCGCACTGACAAAACTTTCGATTGAATGTGATGAAATATATTCAGGGGAGGTTGGCAGCTGAAGTTTCAGCTAGTTTGTTGCCAAGCACAGGGTTGATTTACAAGTCAAACAGTGCCGGAGGAGTAACTTTTCACCGTAGACCTCTTTTCCAGTTAAGAGTAAGGTGATAAGCAAACTGTTTCCGTAAATTTGGATGGTTTGAACTTTCCGTTTCCATTATTCGTGTTTGGCAAATCTGTGAGAAGGAGTGGTTGTTTAGTTTATAACTGGAAGCTATTTCGATTTTACACGCAAAGTGACGATATGATTATCCCTATTTAGCTCGATATCATCTCCAAAGCGTTAGATCACGATTGAGTTGTTTGGTTAATTCAAGTGACTTGAAAGTGACAAGTATGATGGTACATACGTTAGTTGACTTCAGAGATTGTTTAGCCAAGAGTAGTACATAAGAGTAGATGTACCACCATACTGCATACAAAATGTTGTGATGCAAATTTTATTAAGATGCAATTGATCTGCTGAAACTCGTTTCCCAACTTTTGCTTTTGCACGAAAATCACATAGAATCATAGCGAGCATGTGGTTTGCGGGGCCTCCCTTAGCTCAGTCGGTAAAGGCGCAGCTACAAAGCAAGACCATGCTGGAGGTGGCTGGGTTCGATTCCCGGTCCGGTCTAGGAATTTTTCGGGTTGGAAATTTTCTCGACTTCCCTGGGCATACAAGTATGATTGGACTTGCGTCACAATTATACCAATGCAAAAATTGGTACAGGCATCGAAAGCTCCCAATTAATAACTGTGGAAGTGTATCTAGAACACTAAGTTGCGAGCATGCAATCAGCTAATATGCGGTATGCAATAAGCTTGAAATGCGAAGAAGAAGAAGAAGAAGAAGAAGAAGAAGAAGAAGAAGAAGAAGAAGAAGAAGAAGAAGAAGAATGTGGTTCGAGAATGTAGGGAATCGACGCTCTAGATCGTTTGTGCAATACTCTCTTTAAAGCGACGAATCTATGATAAAAGGTCCAAAGACAAAAGACCAAATTGCAAAAGGTCGAATGGATAAAAGGTATAAGGAAAAAAAGGTTGAATTGAAGTTGGAAGGAAAAATGGACTAAAGGTAGTATGAACAAATGGTCTAATTTAACATAGAGGGACAAAATGTCGAAGTAGACAAATAGTCAAAGTGAACTTAAGTTCAACAAACCTTGATGTAGGTTGACCAAATATTGTTTAGAAAATTTTCAGTTTAATAAAATACTATGCAAATAAAGGGAAACAAATTGCTTTCAACGATAAATCAGAAATCAGGACAGCTGAACATCAGAGCTAAATTTGAAACTAGCTAAGTAATGCAAATATATTTAAATTAGTTTTTTTCCGGGACCTAACACCAGGGCTCTACATTTTCGAAGCTCTAAAATGAACTCGTGTTTTGTTTCTCTCATACATACGTGTTCGACGCTTCCTTTCTATAACGCCTAGCTAGACTATCAGCAAGAAACGAAAATAAAAAAAGCAGGACGCTTAGAAGGAAAGGCTGGCTGTGGAACTTCTCGTCGTTGCTTTCCTCATCGCTTTCAATGTAACTAACGTCGATTTTCTAGTTAAACGAACCTCATTATGGCTTTCAATCCCCTTTCACGAACACTCTATCACCGCTCTGTCAATTTGTTTAAAATGCGTTATGTCCCGTTTTTGATCATTTTTTTTAGATAAATATATGGATGGAAGATAAATTAAAAATATTACGTGTAATCTTCACGTGTTTTCACGTGATAAATGCTTTAAATGTGTTATTTCATTTTCCGTCATATACGTCATGAAACCTCTGTTGATGTGTTTCATGAAAGAGAAAACTATCAAAGTCGAGCGCTCTTTCGCTCATCCGTTTCACCGAAGCTTGAAAGGAAGACCAATGGAGCGACGGGAGAAAGAGAGGCAAGCGATTGAACATTTGTTTGTGCACGCCAACTGAGGTTCTAGAATGCTGCGAAGCTGTTCGACTTTAACAGAAAAAGAAAGCCAGCAGTCTCTTCGTCGCATCGATTTGGTCGATTGAAGCTGATATTGTGACGCCCTGCCTAACACCACTACGACCAGTGATTTGATCTATTGTTTAGTGCATGTCGTATTACTTCATCACTATTGAGAAATGATGAAGTATTCGATGATGAGTTACGAGTATTTTACAGTTGTCATTCTTGAATTTATCGCAAGGATCCGCCTCTAATTGGAAGGTACCACTATTTATACCCTTCGGAGTGTTGAAACACCCTCCAAAAGCGCGCCCCTTTGTCAGTCAGTGACACCGGTAAGGGTCTGTCCATAAACTACGTAGAAAGTTTAGGGGGGCGGGGGGGTGGTCCATATTTTTTTTTGTATGGACAGTTGTCTTCGCAGGATAAAAAAACTGTCTGCGTAGTTAATGAACAGCCCCTAATGACCATGCATCAGAACCCTAGTCTTAACCACTTCAAACTAGGGAACAACGAATGGAAGATTAGAAATCACATAGATGAAGACTAACTAACTCATTTTCGAATCATGACCGTAGTATTCTGATAGGACGACTGAGATCTTCTCACTGATCCAACCGATCGTTTCATCTGCCGTTCTATCGAACAAGTGAACCTGCTTAGCTCCTGCCAATGCTTCCTGCTGGGCCACAACCAAATCCTTCAACTCTTCCACAGTTGCTTAATTTCCCCCGTTTACCCTTGATAATGTCCTTGTTAGGGTTACCCTCGTTCAACAGCGATTCTCCCTTAGCAATACAAGCATAAACTCGTGCTTCATTCGAGTTCATATTCGAAACGAACGACTCAAACTGTGCCGTCAGCTGTTCGACATGTTCCACATCCGTTCCGTATTCATCCGATCCAGCCGTAGTCATCTGCATCTCGATCCACTCCTGCAGATCGTCAATCTCCCGTATGAACTCGTACAGCTTCTTCGTTTCGGCCAGCTTCTTCTCTCGCTCACCAGCCAGTCGGTTCAGCTCATGGAACTGATACTGAATCTTATCGTTCTTGGTCTTGATCTTTTCGCTATCGAAATGACCTCACTCCTGCAACCCTCCAGTCAACTTATCGATCTTCTCGACAGTCGGCCTGAATGCTACCAGTTCACACTGCAGTGCATCCAATTTCTTCTGCAGAGATCCCACCGAATCCTCATCTTTGCCGTAATCGTGGGAGGAAATGATCGGTTTCTTCTCTTTCAGCCAGGATTTCGCTTCGTTGGCTTCGGCGTAGAACTGCTGACTTTCGACCGCATCCAGCAGACTTTCAAACTGATCCACGGCTTAGTGATGATCGCGAATCATTTGCTGACCTCGTTGGATCAAAACGGAAATGATTGGTTCCTGTGCAAGGATCTCCGCTTCCAGGTCTTGATGTTTCTTCTGTAGGCTTTGTACGGCGGTTAGGCTGTTTCCGAGATCCTTGGATGCCGCCAGAGGTTCCTTCTCGTTCAACCAGAACAGTTCGTCTTCGGTATCTCGTAGGAACTGGTGCAACTGTAGCGAGTCTTCCTCCAAGTTGTCTCGCCTAATGGTGGTTGGCTCGTGGAGGGAGTGATATCGCTTGATAGCGCTTTCGTGGAGTTCGTCCTTCATGAAGTGATCGGAAGCGAAGAACTTGTCATCGGTGGCCCTGATTTGCTCGCATGTTTCCAAGTGGTGAGCAACGTCCGCTTTCAGCATTTCGTGCTTCTTCAGCAGGTTGTTAACGGAAGCAAGATCCAGGACAAAGCCGAGTCTTGTCACTATC